CCCCTCCCCTCCCCCTTGCGTTCCCCTCCGCTCCCCTCGTCGGGCCCCTCACCCCCTTTGTCTCTCTCTCTTCTCCTCTGCCTCTCTATGCCCTGCGTCTTCTCCGCGCCTCCCTTTTGCTTCGCCCTTCCATCCCGACAGTGCGTTCCATCCTCTCTTCATCTTCTTCCTCCTCACTTCTTCAACAACTTCTTCTTTTCCTCCTCTTATCCACGGCCTTTCTCTATCATCGCCTCACCGTTTTTCCAATTGTGGATCCCGTTGGGCCCTAGACGACAAAAATGGGGCAATCATGCAGGAGCTTTTAAATGGACTCCCCCGCTCGACTTAAGCATCATTGAACCATTCGGCCCATTGGCCCAACGCCCCGGCCCCGTAGCCGATCGATAGGGGTTCGAACTCCTTCTGGTTTGGTGCCGCTTTGAGCGCGCTGGAGAGGAAAGTGGCAGTCCTCGGGGTTGACAAAAGCTCAAAGACTGCCATTCACACTTAATAGCTTAAGAATAATGGGATGACCACACATTTAGTCACGCCTGCACCGCATGTGTAGTGTCATGTTCAGGACGCGCCCCCGTCGCGAAGATCAATGCAAGAGTGGGCGTACGCAAGCTGGCCGGCTCGAGGAAATTCCCTTGTTGTGCTCTGCATCATTCACAAGTGCTGTCATCCCCTATTTTCCGAAATTTCAAGGGGGGCATGAAGAGGGGCAAAATGTGCAAAACGGCGCCGAGTTGTGGAGACGCGTTTTGGTCTCGTACGAAAAACCAGCCCCCTTGACCCCTCCTGCCCTCCTAGTTTTCACCCTCCCCCCTCACCCTCATTCCGAGAACGGCTCTGCCACTCTGAATGTATACGTCACAACTCACAATTTTCTGTCACGTGACCTACAGCCGCCATCTTGGCAGTTCTCAACGCTGCTGGCTGAGGGTTAGTGACGTCGGCTAACGAAAAATTTGATATTTCTGGCTGTCAGGAGTATTATGCGATTTGCCGAGTGTGTTTGGCGTGTGTCGGAGTAAACGCAGTATTGAAATCCGTAATGCTGGATGTGTGAAAGGTATTTATCCCCGTGTGTGAGACTTGTGAATGTTGTAGCGGCTGTTGCGGCGGCTGCGCCCGCCTGCCCGCCCGCCCGCCGTTGCTTCCAGTAATGTAGGACCTCGCCAGCAGGAAATGGCGGGAGCTTAAAAGCCACCGGTACAGTTCTTTTAAGTTTGTTGTTTTCGTTCGCCGTTGTTCTTGGAGCGGATCGAAATTGTGTGGGCGGCGATTTCATGGTTAGGCCCCTGTCGCGGTTGAAATCCGTGCGCGAACCAACCTAAACAAAGTACGCGGGGTTGTTGAGTGCCTGGCCAGCACGCGTCGTACCCTGCTGCTCTCTGGCGTAGCGAGCCGAAAGCAGTTTTAGTGTCACTGCTAGTGCAAGTTAAAACCCTTTCGCAGACTTGAAAGAATGCTTATGAAATTTCTGCTGACGAATGTGTGGGCGAGCAGCCTGCATTTAGCGATTGGGACGCGTCTTGATTTGTAATGTGACATACTTCGATATGCCTTTCATACAGCAGAGAATCTCCGTGCGCGTTAGGCCTTTAAACGGCCAGGTGAGTGCTGGCCGTCGAGAGGTTAAGCAACTTACGTAATTCGTTGGTGCATTGTGAAATAATAAGCGCCGTCAGAGTAAGTTGATTTAAGGGGTCATCAAAGTCTGACAATTTTTTCAGAGCCCAAATAGAGCATAATTTTGCCATGGATTTGACGGCCTCGCGCTCTAGCGGCCGCGTACGTAACTACCTACTTACGGTGCTGTGTTTCAAGTTGGGTGCTGGTTGAAATTTGTCTACAATGTACCCCTTGAATGCAATCCCAGCTTGATTTTATCATCCAAACGATGACTGGAACCGATGTTAGATTTTTGTCATTGGTGTTATGTTAGCATCCCACTGAACTTTGCTACTTTGCTTATTTGAGCCCTTGGCACGGGCACCGCGCGGTCTCAAGAGGTAAACATAACGTCCTTTAGGGGCTTATTTAATATTTGACCGGGCTGGCGCTGTTAGGATGATCCGCAGTTTTTGAAGACATTGCTGAACTGCATTTTGCGGTTTGTTCTTTCAATACAACCTTGCATTAAGATGCCCGTTGCGGTACCGGCATCTTCTCACGGTAGGCTTGCGGGGCATTGGAGGTTGGACGAAGCCAAGGCTGCCGATTGGCTAACCCTAGTTTTGATAGCCTATGCGCAACTGAAATTGAACCCTTTCTTTTCTTTGAAACACCAAAATGTTAAAATTGTTACTTGGCCTAAGATTTTTAGAGCACTCGCTAAGTTTACTAAAGATTTCACCTTGTTTATTGTTGGCATTGTAAACAAAGGGGTTAATAAAAAGGGGAGTTTCCTTAGGTTACCTTGGTCTCCTGTCTATTTTTCATTGCATTAGTTAATTACCCTTTTTAAGAACTTAATTGTGTAGCATTACACTCTGTGACCTTTTGAGTCAGTGTTTGTTGCCATCATAATGTGATCCTCTTTTTACCCCCTTATAGGTTTTTAAAGTATAAAGAAATATAACTATATTTAACAATTTGACACCAATTTGACACTTGCAACATTTATATTAGATGCAAAATCTATATTGTGTGTCATTCCAGCAACAGACTTTGAATGCGATGTAGTGTGTAATTCAAAGCCTCATTCCTACCATTCTTTCTGAAATTTTAACAATTCATTCCATTCTGTCCTAGGTGTGACCAATATCAACCGCCACCATGGAGGATGTGACTGCAGATGTGGGCGAAAACATCAAAGAAGCTACTGACAAGTCTTCTCAAGATGCCGAAGGTTGTATGCTTTTCTTTTTTCTTACGCTGGTCATTCCACTACCTTCCCTAGAGCATTTTTGTATAACATTTTCTTTATTTTTCAGCTAGTGCCAAGGTTAATGGTGATTTAAATGGATCAGTAAATGAAGCCATGGATGTGGATGCCCCTGTGGTTACTCCAGCTGAAGCCTCAGCTGTCAAGGACAACTCTGAGTCATCTGAGGGTCAAGAGAAGCAGGAGCAGGATCAGGAACAGGAAAAGGGAACTAGTAATGACGATGAACCTATGGACGTAGACAATAACATTAGTGATGTGCCTAGCGACCTCTCTGCAAAGAGTGAAGTGCATGTTGAAAGTGATGACCATTCAGATGGTCAGCCAAACTCTAGTGTAAAGAATGGACCAAGTGCTGATGAGAAAAAGCTTGAAGACAGTATAGAAGAAAAAAGTGTGGAGGATAGTGAGACGAAATCAGATCAAAGTGATATTAGGGATGAAGTTAGTTTAGAAAAAGTAGATAATAAAGTAAGTGCTAAGGATGATCACTCAAATGATCCAATTTCAAAGGAAAGTGCATCTGTTAGTGATAGTGAACAAGATGGGAGTGAGGAACCAACCAGTAAATCATCATTACAGAATGGTGAAGCTGATGAAGCATTAGATGAAAGTATAGAGGGTGAAGAAGCCAAGGATCTCTCCAAAGATTCAAGGAAAGAGGAAGAAACACCTGAGAGAGGTGACAGTGAGAGGAATGAAGGGGAAAGTGAAGAATCACCTGATGGTTCATCACCCAGCAAAAAAGGCAAGGGTCGAAAAAATCCTGCACCCTTATCTCTTACACCACGAAGAAGTTCTCGCAATTTAAATAAGCAAAAGAGTTATGCTGAAGACAAGGAGGAGACTCAAGAACGGGACGATGGGTCAGATATTGAAGAAATTGCTATGGTTGACCCTCTTAGTGCAACTGGGGATCAACAAAATAAGGAAAATAGCAAGGCCAGAGCAGCTAGTAGAAGTAGTACTACCAATAAGACAATTGTTGTAAATGATACAAAACATTTGGTTGAGATTGCATCGGGTAGTAAACAGACAAAGGGTCAGAAAAAAGAACCAACCTTGGTCATCATAGATACCAATTCCATAATATCAGGGCGATCACCGATTCCTGTTGGTACTAATAAGATTGCAAATCGACCTGGTCTACAAATTACTCCTGCTAATCTGTCTAGCTCATCATCATCCTCCTCTTCTGTACAGCAAAGCTTTTCTGTCCATCCAGTTGGTGGCCACAGCCAGACTGTTTTCAATACCAGCATTACACCCATGCAACGTAAATCACCTGTACAGCCACCCCCAGAGAAGCAACCAGTGATTCTGCCCTCTTTGACAGATGACATGTATGTTGTGGAAGCTCCATCATTCATTGTTCCATATGTGTATGAGAAGCCACCTATTAAACCATTGAAGGACTTCATTGAAGACCTTGGAGAGGCTCTCAAAAAACAAAAATTGGAGGAGGAAGAAAAGGACAAAGAAGAATCTGAGAAAAAAGATGAGAAAGCAAAAGAAGAAGATTCTAATGAAGAAGAATCAGCAAAGAAAGATGGAGATAAGGTTGAAACTAAAGATAAATCTGATAGTGATGAAAAGGGCAAAGATGAGGAAAAAATGGATGTAGATGACGAGAAAAAGTCCAGCAAGGAAGAAAAGGACGAATCAAAGGATAAAGATGATACAGCATTACGAGATAGTTCAAAATCTGATGAGAAGAAAGATGATGCTGCAAAGGATCTGTCAAAAGGAGATGCTGATAAGGCAGATGATAAGAAACCACAATCCTACTTTGACAATCCCCTGGGCAAATTCTTCATGCAAATTGGTACTAATCTGGTTCAAGAACATGTTCAAACAGATCTTCTCAGATCACAGAAGAAAAAAAGGGATAGGGAAGGTGGTAAAGGTGGTGCTAGTACTCAAATGGCAATTAATTCCCTACAACAGACCTTAGAATACAGCAAAGAAAACAATGCTCCTTTCCATTTAGACCAGAAGAAGTGTGACTATTGTAGTTTTAAAACTGAATCTGCCCTAGTAATGGCTCATCATATGGAAACTCCTCACATGAGAAACTATATTTACCGGTGCAATTTCTGTGATAAGGAAGTTCGATCACCTCATGACATATTATTCCACATGGAAGCTGAGCACAATGTTAGGGGAAAGCTGGAACGTGGACCTGCATTCCATCAGTGTCCCAACTGTCCGTTTGAAGACAACCAGAAAGGAAAACTTACGAGACATCTTGTGTCTTGTCAAAAGAAATATCGTCCAGACAAAAATCAGGTACAGATTTGATTTATATCTCATTTTATCTTTTGAACAGTCATTAAAATTCCTTTTTTTGATGCTATTCGCTCATTGTTTATGATTAATTTTCATTTTTCTTTTAGGAACCACCAATTGATTGGGAGCCACCAGCGAAAATACCCCGGGTATCGCGCAGTAGACCTTTCCCAATGGGTGGTCAAACTGTTGCAGGGATGACAATGCCACAGAAACCGGGTATGGTTGGTCAACCACATCCGTTACTACCGAAGCTACCAGCTGGATCTACAATTATGGGTCAAACCACATTAGGTCAGATGGCCAACTCACTTGGCAGAGGACGCGGGCGTCCGCCAGTGACTGGTGGCCGTTTCCCTGATCTTAAAGCAACTTCAGGAATGCAGCAACAACAGAGGCTGCAAAATCCTATGTCCAGTGAGTAAAAAATTACTTTGCTTGTTTGTATCAAAAAGAAATTAATGCATATTACTTTTATACATTAATTCCTCATGTTTTTCAGGCATGTTGTATCGCTCCTCACCTTCAGGGTCCTCACAAGTACTTGTTCCCACTTCTTATCAGATTGCTGGCAATCCGATTTATCAAGTAAGTTATATGTAACGGGCTTACTCGAAACTACAATTATCCAAAGTAATGGTGCATCTGGGGATTTTTCTATGTGTGAATTGGCTTGAATTATGTGTGGTACTTCAAACCCACATATTGTTTTTGAAATGCTAATGGAGTTGAAGATAATTCTTAGTATACTTTGCATGTTATGGCATCATTTATGAAGTTGTTGGGATACTGCTAGAAATATTATGTGTTATTTTTGCTATTGAAAACCTACTACTGTTACTCTGTAGGGTTGCCTGTTAACTCCTGCCTGGGTACTTGTAAAATTGCTTGATCTGTGCCAGAGTCTTATAGCTCTGGTAATCAATCAGTGATTTTGCAGTTCATTAACCTCTTCCCAACTGACCTGTTATGAAGACTGCCTGCTCAACCCTCCTCTTAAGCTCCTACTATTTCCTTCAAAGGGGATGACGAGTGAAGCATGAAAGGTGTAATTTGTGGAGTTCTATGTATGTCAATTTTGCTGAAGAAAATAAGATCAAAAGATAGATCTTCTTGTAGCAGGGTGCTCTTTACTATTATTGCATTCACTATCTTTTGGGGTTAAATGCTTACTAACTACCATCCCTGCTTTGAAACTCAATGGAAAATTTCTGGCAACAATGAAAGTTTGGTCTAACTAAATTCTTAGTTTTGTCCCTTTTCGTTTTTTCTTTCAAATACATACGGTACTCAATTTTCTAATCTTATATTGTGATGCATGTTTTTCTGGTCTTACGTGTTTTTGTTAATCAATCACTAACTATTATTAAATATTTGTTTGACCACATGATGTAAGACCATATGTTCATATTTCATTCTCTGCCCTGTTTTTTTCAAATCTGTCGTGTAACCATTAATTATGATCACATTAGCTTGGCCCTTTGACACTTCTGTAAGACGAATGCAAAAGAGGAGGTAAAGAGCAGTCGGTGTTACAGGTGGTGGGAGGGCAGGTGATGAAAGTTTTACCTCGACCAGGAGAAGGGGCTACTCCCTTACCATTTGCCCTTGTGCCAAATCCTACAGGCAGCAGTTCTCAGGTAGGCCTGCTACAGAAATGAGCAGGCAGTCACAATTTCCGTTGACTTTCATTTAAGTCCTTGAATGCCTAACATCATTTTGGGAGTTGGTCTATGTATTGTGATAAGTGGTAGAGCCATAATTCAGAATTTAAATCTAATTTAGTAATGATTATTTTTTCATTATTTCTTCTCAAATATCCTTTCAATTTGTGTACTGTACCGTGCACATGGTTATTTCCTCCATCAAAGTTTGTTTTCATTATAAAGAAATAAGTTTTATCTTATGTCTTGTTAATTTTTTGTAATGTATTTCCTTTGCCACTTACTGTCAATAAGTTGATATATTGTATTGTTTTGGTTTGTTTAGTAGGGCTAGATCACACCAACATTGTTAACTCTAACTTGTTGGGCAGCCTCTTGTTCAATACATAAACCATGCCTAACAATTTCTTCCAGTTTATACCTTGAATGCCACACATAGTCTGTCAAATCAATTAATTCATTACCTTTCTTGTACGAAGTAAATTTTTAATCTAGTTATCTCTTAAAAAATTTGTATCTGGATTGGAAATTTTAAAGTACTTTCTTTATACTGTGTTTTCTCGATGTGTTTACTTATAACTGTCAACAATGTCTTCTTGTGTTTATTTTAATAGGTACATGTTATGTCATTCTAATGGATTTACCCGCAATTTTACAGAACTCAAAGGGTCAAGCAAGCAAACTTCAACAGCAGCCCAGCATTTCCATTACACCCTTACCTCGCCAGTCCTCTGGCACACCACCCAATGCCCACAGCACAGGCATGCCTGCAGGAAGCAACAAGCCCGGCCATCCAAGCAGTGGAGGAAAGGCAACCTTTGTCATTTGTGAGATTTGTGATGGTTACATAAAGGTAAAATTCAACTTTTTATTAAAACCTGTTTAGATGCACGTTTTATGTGAGTAATTTCTCTTACATTCATTCATTTTACTTCATTTTAGGACTTGGAACAACTGAGAAACCATATGCAATGGATCCATAAGGTTAAAATTCATCCGAAGATGATTTATAATCGTCCCCCACTCAACTGTCAAAAGTGTCAGTTCCGATTCTTTACTGATCAAGGACTGGAGCGTCATCTTTTAGGCTCCCATGGCCTTGTTACTTCTAGTATGCAAGAAGCAGCAAATAAGGGCAAAGATGGGGGAAGATGTCCAGTATGTGGCAGGGTAAGTGTGCTCAGCTTATGCAGTGTCTGAGGCCTATACTGCAATGGAGAAGTAATCTCTCTGTTTTCCAATCTAATCTAAATACCATCCTGTTTTCTCATAGGTGTACCAATGGAAATTGCTTAATCATGTTGCTCGAGACCACAGCATGACACTGAAGCCTGCCCACCTGTCTTATAAATGTACAGTATGTACTGCCACTTTTGGCATGTACAAGCAGTTTGAAAATCATGTCTACTCTGCTCATTCAGTCGTGGCTAAAAGAGTAATGGACAAAAAGCCTGGTGGCACAACGAGCACCTCAAGTCCCTCAGTCAGTCGGTCGCCCGCTCCAGCCCAGCAGGGCGACTCTCTACTCATCAAGCCCCTGAAGATCAACGATGAGATTACTATAATCCCTCAGCCCACACGCTCCGCACGGCCCTCGCCCGCAGGCCGCAGTGCGCCGCTACCTGCTCACATGCAGGGGGGAAAGGTAGGGCCCTAAACCTGCTAGTATAAATCAGACCCCAGCATTACCCTCAAAGCGTAATTGCCCAAGTTTGTTCCAATTTAAGTAAAGAGTGCTGGTAAAATAGAATTTTGCTTATGATTGATAAAGTTGAATGTGTATAGTAACACACATACAATAATGTCCTTGTGTCTGTATGTGAGGTGTAAGTTTTAATGCATGTAGCATTTGGCACTTCATGAATGGCCGAATTTTGAAGTGGGTTATGGGTTTATGTCATCTATTTCAAACCCCAGTCATAATTCATTAACATTTCCCTGATGACCTTAATGAGTGGTGCAGAGATCAGTGTTGTTCTTATCACACAACACTTTGCTTTATTTATTAATTGTCAGTGTTAAGTTTGGGACGTCACATTCCAAACTATTGTGCTAATAGAATACAGTCTGGTGTAGTTTTCTTGAACTAGTTTCTAGCCATTCCGTCTCATATTTCAGCCATAAATTTAATTCTCTTCCTGTTAGTATGTGACACTCTGCATCATCATTTTGAATCCATATCTGCAATGTAGCTTGTGTTATTCATTATTCCTCTGAAATTAATGGGCTAACGCTGTTGCTTCGTCAAACTGTGTGTGTTTTTGAGTGGTGTAAAGCTGGGCTTTAATTAATGTTACCAATGCTTTTATGTGCTAGTGTTTTGTTCAGTTTGGCTGAGTCTAACCTTGATGCAGCAATGATGTGTGTTGGCAGGCTGGCGATGACAGGCAGCGGCGACCAGGGAGTGGATCTGGAAGAGATGATGATGGTGTCCAAATAATAGACCTAGATGACTCTCCATCCAAAGATGCATTGTCTGCTGTACAGGAAAGATTACGACGCAGGACAAGCCTGGAAGTTAGTCAAGTGGAAACAACAGAAGAAGACAGTTCAACACCTCCAGCTAAAAAAACCCGCAGAGAGTGATGATGTCTTTTATTAATTTTGAAAATTGACTGGTGAACTCACTCCGCTGTGAGTCAAGCGGTGTGACATCAGTGTCATCAGTGCAAAGCACATGTCAGGCTGGGCTGTGCCTTTAAGGCCACCATCATGAACTATTGTACATCTGAGGAACTTTTTTATTTTTTACTTAATTTAAACTGACCCATCAGTGATGTATATGTGCAGTTTTATTAATAAATAGGCCATCCAATCAAAGGTTATGTCCCCTCCAGTTTTTTTTAATGTAATTATTCATCTTTTAGAAACTGAGTGTTTTGTGAAGAGAAAAGCAATAGTGTGATGGTGTTGGTTCGAGCTGCCAGCTACAGATGCGAGTTTTGCAGCTGTACGGGGTACAAAATGCATGTTGTCACGTTACTCAATGGACTGTACCAACAGCATGTGATTTAACTAGATTTGATAAATGTACCCTGTTGCCTGGCTGGTACTTGTATGTATAGAAGTAGAAATGTAAGGTGTAGATTGTATTTAATGTACTAGAATTTGGGGAAAATAAAAGTGGTGAATTCTCATTACTTTTGGTTTCATACTCATATTTATAATAGGTTTTTTAGCTCTGCAACAGGTCTTTTAAAGTGATGATGCAAGAATGAACTAGTGTGTTATAAAATTTGAGAGAGAATGGAAAGTTGATTAAATGAACTTAATCAAGGAGACTGTCAGATCAGCCTGCCTGTGTGCCTGACTGAGCTTTGCCGTGACAATGGATCATGAAAGAGTGGCACTGCCAGCTAAAAGGACCACTTAACAGTGTATACTTCTTTTTTTAAAATTTTGTGTTAACATTTTTTATATAATTACTGTTCTTGGAATTTGTGAGGAATCAGCAAATTGCATCTGTGGTTGATAGGAAAACATCATTGTAATCTCATTCTCATATTTTCCATTTTTGGCTAGAATGGTATTGCTTGTTGCACATTGTTTTGGAGTCGCGTCTGAGAGAAAGGCCTCACGTAAACTTTATCTATATTCTTGGCACCTCCTTCGTGCCAACAAGCGTTTTTGCTTCTGATGGTACCAAAGTTTTCGCGTGGTCCAATACAGACACTATTCCAAAATGCACTTCTCTATTATAAAAAGTGTAAAATATAGTGAAAACTTGTACTTATGAAAATTATAAGAAAATTAGGTTTTTTATGATTTTCCTCTCATTACTTGGCATGAACCCTGTCACCTTAACATCAAATGGTTCCTAATTAGGTTCTTTGAAATATAAATCACACAATTATGCTGAAATTAAGTTTTATTTCAAAATCAATACAACTGCCGAGGAGGAGGATTCCCAAACAAATGATTCCATGACGGAGGATATATTAGTTTAGGAGAACCAATGGAATCCACATCCAACTGCAAAGGCAAAGCTGCCAATTAGTAAAAGCTAAAGAACTGAAAACATTTTTATAATTCAGGAAGCATTTCGTACCAGTTTTAGCCAGCCATTTAATTTGTTCAACATTACAAGAGCATCGGGAATGTTATCGCCCTCACTACAGAACTTAATGAGAGCAACACAATTTAGTTTCTTTTCAGAGCTGGAATAATAGAATGCAATATTAGTTTGACATTTTATCTCACATATATGAAAATGAAACAAAATAAGATCTTACCAGGCTGTAATCAACTGCTTGGCAAAGCCTCCACCAGGTATGACAACCTGGCCAATGTTTTGGTTACCTTCTTCAAGACTTTCTAGTTTAGATAGAGCGGGGAAATGAAGCCTCTTCTCCAATGCAATCCATCCCAAAGATCTAGGGAATAAATTAGAATTTATTTTGTATGCCCCGTGTAGGTAGCTTAACTGAGACTTACAAGGAATCTTGCCTGAATGTTTCAGCCAGACTGGGATTTGATTCAGTGCCAACTAAGTAACGAAATGGTTCAGATGTAATTTGTTCATCAATGCGTTCTTCATTAGAACTTCCAGTGAGAACAGCCACTTGCACAACTCCAATTGATTGCATCCACTGAACCAAATCATTCAAAAATGGCTTTCTCAGCTTCTGTAAGACAAAACACTTATTAAGTAGGGTGAAGATAAAACAGAACAAGTTCATTGGCAACATGGGAAGTAGGTAGGTATTTACTTTGACAACTGAAGACCTTAATTGCAAGATCACCAGATTATGATCCTTTGAATAGAACACTGCAAAATCAAAGAAAAATGTGAATACATACATATATATATCATGTAATATTGTATGAACCGAAAAGTGTTCTAATGTTGCTACCTTCTGCAGGTAAAGCTAGGTCAGGTGACGATAGTCTGTAAGGATCAACCCCCACAACTGGGAGAATAGCTGGATGCCAAAGATACCCTGCTTTCTGGCATCCAAGTGATTGGATAAGTAAGTCGGTGCATAATTGACCAACATTCCCTACTGATACAGACGGCTGAAATAGACAAGTCAGATTAGGCAAAAATGAAGAGGCAATGAATGACAATGAACGACGAGAAAATAAAACCAATAGAAACTACTGAATAGTCCAACATAAAGTCATGACAAACAACAGAACATTCACAAAATAACAAAGAAAGAGAATGATAATAACTAATGTTTTGAAGAGCCATAACCTAGACATGTAATCAATGAAGCCGGGAAAATGAAACAAACGATAATGTTTGAAAAAGAATAGTCACTTACTATTATAAGTGTGCAACCCTTAAAGTTGAAACTTTTGATTGGATGGAACATTTGAGAGGTTTGCTCAATTGTGTCTGTCATGATGTTTCAAAGAAAAAACTACTCAAAATTGACAAAAGCTTTTTGCTTTGTTATTGCACGTACATGACATGACATGACTTTTGAATTCTGATATGAATGAAAATCCGGGCTGGCTTGTCTACCTGTAAATAGTCAGTCTCGAAATGATAATCGAGTTGTATACAAAAAAAATAATTGAAAACTACCAACTGCCAACCAACTTCATGAAAACCGTGAAAACCTTGAGTTCATGAAAAGGAAATAAAAAAAATTGAAGGATCTGCATCTCTTTGTTAGACTAACATACCGCAAGTACCAGTTAGGGAAGTCGGGGAGTTGACAATGTTGAAGTTCCCGCCTACAAGATAGTTCCGGTACGAGTCGTGGTCACATGGATCCGGCATTCTAGTAGACCAATCTGTTGTTTACGTTTGGCGTTCGGTTTGGCAGACGCTGTTTCAATTACGCCGGACATTCAATTCTCGCACATCGCTTACAAAAAATAGTTAAGAAAGTCAAGAATTTTTTTCTGAATTTTAATCAAACACGAATTCGGTACACTTGGTTTTATAGTCGTTACAAAGTGTGTTCTCATCGCAGGGTATATATTTTCGACTTGTGGAGTCGTGGGTTGGTTATGTTCTATTTCTAAGGATTATGAATTATAACTCTGTTACAGGTCAGAACGCTATGGAAAATCAAAATTGTGACACTGGAAGGAAAAGAGCGTTGATTACGGGTATAACCGGCCAGGTAACCTGACAAGTCAACATCAATGCCACTTTTTGTTATGTGGACAATGTTAACTGTCATTTTCATGTGTCATTAGGATGGATCTTACTTAGCTGAGCTGCTTTTAGAAAAGGGCTATGAGGTCCATGGGATCATACGGAGAGCCAGTACATTTAATACAGGTCGTATATCTCACCTTTACAAAAAACCATTAGAGCACACTGGTGGCTCAATGAAGCTACATTATGGGGATATGACTGATAGTAGCTGTCTAGTAAAGCTCATTGGAACCATTCAGCCTCATGAAATTTATAATCTAGCCGCCCAAAGTCATGTTCAGGTATGTCCCATAATACTTATTACTCTTAACAATGTAACATTTTAAGAATGTATTTTGTTTTTATTTTTCAGGTATCTTTTAACTTAAGCGAATATACAGCTGAAGTTGATGCTGTCGGTACACTTCGATTGCTTGATGCCATTCGCACTTGTGGATTGGAAAAATCAATTAAGTTATATCAAGCAAGTACATCAGAGATGTTTGGACTTGTGCAAGAGACACCCCAGAAAGAGACAACTCCATTTTATCCACGGTCACCATATGGTTTGTAGTAATAATAAATTTTTACAATGTGCCATAGTACCATAGTAAATTTGCAGCTTTTCAGCAAAAGAATTTTACTCTTTCAGCATGTGCAAAACTCTATGCATATTGGATTGTTGTAAACTATCGAGAAGCATATTCCATGTTTGCTTGCAATGGAATCCTCTTTAACCATGAAAGCCCTAGACGTGGAGAAAATTTTGTCACCAGAAAAGTGACTCGATCTGTTGCTAAAATTCATTTGAATCATATTGAATGTTTTAAGCTGGGAAATTTGGATTCTAAGCGTGATTGGGGACATGCCAAAGATTATGTGGAGGTTTGTTTAGAGTATCTGAATTGTCAAGCAAAATTTGCCTTCTATTTATCTGAGTGAAATGAAATCTTAACTTTCATTTTGAAACTCTACAGGCAATGTGGATGATGCTACAACAAGAGAAACCAGAGGATTTTGTCGTTGCCACTGGAGAGGCACACAGTGTGAGAGAATTTGTTGAGGCATCATTTGCATATGTTGGCAGAGATATTGAGTGGGATGGTGAGGGTTTGAATGAAGTTGGGAAAGAAAAGGCTACCGGGATTGTGCGTGTGAGAGTGGATCCAAAGTATTTTAGACCAACAGAAGTGGCAAGTATTCCATAACTTGATAAGCAGCAAACTGTCAATATCAAAGTGTGGAAATTTTTAGTTTGACAACATTACCTTCCTGTTCTAGGATTTTCTCCTTGGTGATGCAAGTAAAGCAAAGAAATTTCTGGGCTGGAAACCAAAAGTTACATTTCAGGTTTGTAGCTACTTGCAACATTATCTTTAACAGAACTAGGTTTTATCTATAATTTGTTTAACTAAAATATCTGTTTCTTTTAGGAATTAGTAAAAGACATGATGGATGCAGATTTGGAGTTGATGAGAAGAGATCCCACAGCATGATAAATGCTGTTTCAGTATTGCATTTAGTTATTCAGTTTGATGCATCTCACTCATCATTCCACTATTTCTAGACCAAATCAGGACTGTATGGAAGCTGTTGTCTATCAGAAAATGCTTTTATTTCAAAGACAATTCTTCAGTTATGATTGTATGTTTAATTATTCTAATTTCTAAAATGTTCATGGAGATTATTATCTTTTGTATTTGCTATTTTTAAAGTATGACTATTCAACAGAGGTATACTAAGTGATTGTTGTTTAATATGTGTTCAGTGCATAGAATCATTTCAGTTGAATATTTTTAATGATCTTTATATTTTGTCATGTTAGAATATGTGATATATAATGTGCATATGTCCAATCATAATTCTGACTGGACCCTTATCAAGTCAGATACTTCTGTGTCATCTTGTAAAAAGATTTTTACTATCCTAAGTGCTAAAAGTTAACTAGTGTACCAGGTATAGTTTTCATTTTTACGTTGAGGCTTTAGGATTTTTTGTGTGTATGTACTACCTACCTGACCATGTGATGTATTTAGTTTTTAACTTCACCATTGTTCCTCTAAAGAAAAGATTATTTGAATTGAATCTCATTATTGCAGATTTGTTTTATTTTATTTTTTTGTTATTCAATATGTTTGAATGTTTGGACAACCATGATATCCTTTTTTTTTTTTGTTTTCTGTTTTCAAAGCACAAGAAAAGTACTTGTCTTCCCATTTTTAAAGACATTTTCATCTTGTTTTGCTGTTGTTGATTTTTGTGATCTGTCTTTCTAGTAATACCCTCTCGCTCCTTTGACTTTATACTCTCTATTTGTTTGTGAGAAGAACTTACCACCTGCAAAGTTTTCTGAGGCTATTTTGATATCCTATCAACTGCTCGCACGCATATATTAAATCGTTTTTCTATACTCTACCGTTTGCTGATTCTTATTAACCGACGTATCTTTGTTTTTCTCGTTTGGTTTTGAGGCGGGGGGGGGGGGGGGGGCACAGAGTCCACCTATACTTGGGCCCTACAGGCTTAGTTGTGTGGCTCTCTGGGGAAGAGCAGCGCGCCCGCGCGGCCCACGACGACGCCAGAAGGAAAGGGAAGGACAGCGGGGACAGGACAAGCTGACAGGCCCAGATCCAGAAAGCTCAAGACTCGCCGGGGGGAAGCTTTTGGCCTCGCTTTTGGCCCTTTGGGCATCGTGACGGGCCCTGCTGCGGGCCGGCACGCGGTACAGTATGTACAGCGCGGAGGCTTAGTGCCCCCCGCCGCAACCACCCCCGTGCGGCAAAACACAGGGATTTGGCGTAGCTCGGGGCCTTCGCGTGGGCGAGGGCATCTGACAGCCGCACCCACCCCTGCCATCCCTGCTGCCGTCATTGGTCCGGGGTCCCAAACCCTTGCAACTTCTTACGTTGTGGTCGTGAGATTTCCTGGCAAGAAGTTTCTGCCACTCTGATGACTAAAGAGATCAACTGGCAAAACAAAACAAAACAAAACAAAAAAAACAAGAAAAAAAAGAAGAAAAAAACACCTGCAAATATTTAACACATATGTTCCATATGTTTTTGGACTGGGACTTTAGACACACTAGAGTGAGCAAACTGCATGCTCAACACCGGGGTTGAACACTTACATTTTAGGCCTCACCTCACGAGACTCAATCCAGCATTATAAGTGCACCTGAACATAGGCACGGCTGAGGGGGGCGTTGTGCTGTGGGTTGCCTACCTCGCCTACACGTCAGTCTCTTAGTCTACACATCAGTGCATTTGGACGAACATCAGATTCGCGACACATCCTCAGGTCAAAGTAAACAAAATAATACCATGGAAGGAAGCCCACTTGAAAACATCGTGTTGTGTCGCAGTCGGTCACAACGGTGAGCGTGGGTCATGTCAGCCGGCCTGCACACTGCCCTGCTGCTCCCGCCCTATGGGCGCGCCACCCCGAGCCCAGCAGCACCGCGTGATGGAGACGGATGGCCTGCCGCCGCCGCTGCTCGCGGCACTAAAAGGTGACTGCTCCCCTTAGTCACGGGCCGGGACTGCTCCCTGATTTAATAAAACTGTTTGGTCACAATTGGATTGCAGTCGTGCGAGCAGAGTGGCGGCCGGCCCAGCCCTATATGCCAGCAGGCCCCGGCAGGGCCAGCAGGGGAGAGCAAGAGCAGGGTGTCAGGCGCGCTTGTCAAGCGAACATACGTTAATCAAAGGGATAAAGTTTCCCCCCCCGTTTCAACCAATTGCAGGCCCAATGCACGCCGGCACGACGTAAAATCTAAGACATTTGTTTCGGGCTGAAACCGCGTCATCTTGACGTCAGTATGACATTATCACTGTTAAAAAGTGAAAAGGGCGTAGGTCCAACAGAAAGCCCTTTACACTTTTCACCAGTGATATGTCGAAGACTTCGACATAACTTCTCCTCAACGCGTACTCAGGGGGGGGGGGGGTGCTCTTTGGTAAACACCATCCCATTTCAGCATCACGCGCTCTCTTGCCGTACGGCATCCGGTTCCGTCGCGCCTCCGTGTCGAGGAGGACTCCTTTCCCTCGCGTCGTCGTGGTGTGGTGTTGCAGGGCAGGCCCGAGTAGTAAAGGGGCTGCTGCTGCTGCTAAACTTTCTGCCCGCCCGCGCACGCGCGAGCGCAAACTCGCCAACTTCAGACGGCTCAGTTTCGGAGGAATATATAAGGGATGAATTATGGATCACAGAATTAAAAGCAATTACGTTGAAGCACTCCGCGCCGCGCGCGCTTGGCCGGGCCTCGGGCCGGGCAGATGCTCTGGGCGTGTATGTGCGGGCCCAGTGTGCAGTGCGGGAGTAAGAGACACGCAAGGGGGAGGGAGAGAGGGGGGCTGCTTTTCGCTTTTCCAACTTTTGCCGCCCCATCAGCCCGCGCTATACTATCCGGTGCATCTTCCCCCAGCCCCAGTCGCTCGCGGTCGCACGGGGAGCGGAGCATTTCTTTCCGTAATTCCCGCCATGTTGCACTCTCCCACGACGCGGAGGTCTTCCCTCCTGAGTGGCCACGTTCAGTGTACGAGGTGACCCCCCCCCCCAACTTTTCTTAGTACGCCAGGGTGGATTCATCCACCTTGGTAGGAGACAATCGCTCGGATGATCGTATTTCTGGCGGCACGGCGCGGCGGCGTCTGACGGACCCCGAGTGAGTAGGCAAACGGCACGCACTCGTGCACGCGGTACTTCAGTCGGACGACGGAAGTGGGCGGAGTCGATAACGCAGTTACACCACAACATTCGGAAAAGCGACAGGACGTTATAATATATTCAAAACATGCCTTAGAAACTGTTATGGCGTGACAGGCCTGTTTTCGTCCGAGCGTACGGAAAAGAGGTCATCCAGAAAGTCCGTTCGTTTTTCTCAGATTTATTCGGCAAATTTACGAGAGCTCAGCGCCTGCGAGACTCGACGTAGGCCACCCCGCAATGCAGGCATGCACTGAAGGAATTGTGTTGCCTACCTAACAGGCGGTACTTTCTGGACGATCCTCGGGACGATCCCAAAGCAAAATAGGGACAAAACAAAGCCACAAGCGCTACCTCCAACTCCCTGGTGAATTTATTTTCATTCAACCGCAGATTTGATACATCAAAAATACAAAAATTATGTTTTTTTATGGCGAAAAACTCATTTGCCTGCTGCAGTGTGAAAGAGATGAATCGTCGCGACAGCAACTGGGAGGTGGGCCGGTGGGCCCGATCCCCAACCCCAAACAACCCATACCTCTCACCTCTCCTGCAGTTGGCCTCCTGGCCCATGGCCGCATCCCGCGCCGCCCACAGCGGCAGTGTGTCCTCATAGAGCCTTACAACGGTGGCCCGGCCCCGGGCCCGGCCCGGCCAACTAGGGCCGAGTTGCGAATAATAAACTAGCGAAATGTCCTGGGTGCTGCTACTGCAATTAGTGAGGCTGCCCCGGCCCGGGAGGGGGGAGGGGGGGGGGGGAATAGGGAGAGGGGTCCTGCTTCGCCTGCTGGGACGCGTAAAGTTAACCCGTCGCCTCTGCGCGCTTCCACTCACGTGAGTACGAATGGGACAACCGCGTCCCGAGAAACAAATTAGAAAAATAACTCCCCCTCCCCCCTCCCCTAACCAGATAAACTGCAAGTTGTGAGAGTGCAAGGAACGGGACGGGTAACAACAGCAATGACATAATGCCTAGCGGGCCAAACCGTCGATACCGATTTACAATCGATTTGCGAACGTTGGTTTTTCGGCAGCGCGGACCCCCGAGACGAAAGAGGAAACCTGTACTGGCACGACGGTACGGCATGTAGGCCAGAGGAGTGAGAAGACCCCCGAGACGGAGGATGGGGAGTTTACTGCGCGGCGGACCTGGGGCGGCCCGTACTCGTAAAGTGAGTCGGATTGGCACCGGGGGACCGTGTTAGTGATAGAGAAACACCTTCCTCTAAGAACCCTTACATTCCGGGCGTGAATCCCCCCCCCCTAAAAAAAAATTTCTCCGTGTAAAAATGTAGTGGCTGCTCCGAATGTGATCGGTGTCTGCGGTTCTAGCCCCCTGCTCGAATAAAAGTTTGCCGCCGTCCTTCATTTTCGTCCCCGGACTGCTAAGACGCGCGGGGGTGCACGGGCGGGGGTGAGGGACCGGCCCCGGCCCCGGCCCGGCGCACCCCTGCGGCTGCCTGCGGCTTAGCCGGCCGTTCATGTTTGTAAGGGATGTCACAGCCCCACCCGAGGTGGTGCGCCACCCTTACCCCTCTCCCCTCCTAGGCCGGGGGCTCGCCTCCGCCTCCTCCGCCTCCTCCTCTGGGCTGGGCTGGGGCGACTAAGTTATTGTTGGGGTCGACGAAACAAAACCCATTTATTGGCTTACCTTTCGCCCTATTGCCCTCTCTGTCTCGTTTTTAGCGTCTTTTACGACGACCCCGCCGCCGGGCGCGCAAGGGGAAGGGGGCGGCAACCCCTTCACCCGGATTATTTGGACGTTCCCCGGGCGAGTTAGCGTCGCGACGTCTGGGACAGCGGCGGCGGCGGGGGGATGAGGAGCAGGGCGAGGCTCAGGTGCAGCGTGGTGCAGGGCGGAGAGGGGGGGGGGGGAGACGTAGGCAACCCATCCGGCTCGCCGTGACGCCGAGGGAGGGGGAGGAGGCCGTCGCCTGCGTGTTATTGTTTCCTTTGGGGAGGATTACGTGCACCCCCAAGTGACCGAGAGCTAACCTCGGACATCCCCCCACCCCCCGCCACCGCCGTCCTATACC